GAGCGTGCCGTCGCTCGTGCCGAGCTCGCGGAAGGGATGGCCGATCGCGCCTACTTCCGACGCTTGCGTGAGGCCGCCAGTCGAGAGGCCGCGGGCTTGCCGCGCACAGCCCCCGTCCAGCTGGGTCGGGATTGGCGCAAAACTCTGCGCGCCGTCCTGCACAACGCTGAGGTCTCGACGGGCATCGCCAACGCAGAACGTGCCGCGCGTGCTGGGGACGCACCCGCGTCGTCCACTGGCCGCTCCTTGGCCGAAGTGGAGGCTGAGGACCCGCGCGCCTTGGCAAGGCCCGCCGACGACCCTGCGTCCAGCTTCAGCCGTCGTGAGGGGCGCGCGGTCCGCGCCCGCCTGGGCCCGCGGGATGAAGCGGTCGAGGACCAGCCCAACCGCGGTGGTCACGCGCCGCACTCCGCCTCGCGCACGGGCGCCGCGCGTACCAGGCGCGCCGCCAAGCAGCGGCGGGCTTCGATGGCGGCGCTCCCCGCCCCTGAGGGGGGGGCCGCCACGGCGCCTGGCCGCAGGGCGCGTCGCACTGCCAATGCGCGCCGCTGGGCAGGCGCGGCACGCCCCAGCTCCGCCGCGGGAGTGGGCTCCCCACCGCGGAGCCGCAGCCCTGCCCGCAGCCGCACGCGGTCTCCAAACCCGTACGGGACTGACCACACCTCTCCCTCGGGGGGCTGCTCGTCGCCTCCCGTCGACGGCCCGATCTCGCCCGAGGAGCCGTCGGAGCCGCCGGCGGGGGAGGCATCGGAGGGCCCGCACACTCCTGACGGGCCCCCGCCCGCGAGCGTTCGCAGCCGCTCGAGAGCGGAGCCCGCGTGCGACGAGGACTCTCCGACGGAGCTCGAGGACGTCGTGCTGAGTGCCCTCGCAGACTCCTCGGTGGACCTCGAGCGCGTCGTGGCGGGCCTGAACCCCGAGGTCCTCCTCCGCCTGCAGGCGGCCTTCCCTCGCCGCTCGGGGGCCTCGCCGCCCGCCGCTCACGCCTCGGCTCGCAGCCGCTCTCGGGGCCGCGGCACGCGTGCAGGCTCCGAGACGCCGCGGCCCGTGCCCCCGCCGCCGCCGCCGCCCCCTCACCACTCTGGTGGGCGTGCGGCGTCGCGATCCCGCGCGTCGGCCGCAGGCCAGGGGCTTAGTCGGGCCGTCGCGCGCGACTCCTCTCGCGCGCCTTCGCGTCAGGCGACGTCGCCTGGGCGTCGCGAGGTGCGCTCCCCTCGAGTCGCTCCGAAGCGGCGCCCGAGCCCCGCTGCTGCGCAGCGGCCAGCCACGTCCCGCCATGGTGCGAGCTCGGGCGACGCCCACGCAGGCAGCTCCCGCGCGGACTCCGCTGCTCAGGCCCCTCCGTCTTCGGTAGGCACGCGCTCCTCCAGCGATGCTGTTGCGGCCCCGCAGGGCGGAGGGCGTGCCGCCGAGGAAAGGGGGTCTTCGAGCGGCCCCGCGCCTGGCCGAGCTTCAGAGCACGAGCTGCATCTCAGCGGCTCCCACAGCGGTGACGCTGGGAGCGCCGCGGCTGCAGCCTTCGCAGCGCGGCGCACGGCCTCTGCGGCCGTTGAGCAGCCCTTGCCTCCAGGGGCCGCCACCGCCCTAGCGTGGCGTCTCAACATCGGCGGTGAGAAGGTCACAGTGGTGAGGTGGGGACCCGCCTGGCAAGCTGCCTTCCAGAGCGCGGCGTCGTGGCTGAGGTCTTTCGCACCCGCAGGGGCCGCCGAGCCCGAGGGCAGAGATGACCTGCACTGCCTCCTGCAGGCCTTGCACGCCTATAAGCGCCTGTTTCAGACAGGCGGCGCCGAGCCGATCGACGAAGCCTCGTGGTTGCATCCTTACGTGGCCGTCGTCGAGCCCGAGGCTATCCCCGCGGACGCTGACCTCCAAGCCATGGGGGCGGGCGCCATCCGTGGCATCGGGCTCGGCTCAAAGATCGAGCACAGGCGGCGAGCGGGCAAGTTGGCCTGCCTTTTCGACCTTCTGTACCACGTGCAGGACGGTCGCGGCGCCATCCCAGCAGCGCTGTGGGGATCGCATTCCCCTCCGTCCGAGATCCTCGACGCCTTCGCGGAGGTGGTGCCCGTTCCACATCATTCGGGCCTCACGTCCTCGGCAGCTCGTTCCGAGCTCGCCGAATCGGCCGCAGCTGCGCGTGCCGAACCGCGCCCGCCCTTTGACTGGGCGACCCTCGAGGGAGGGGACGCTCTGCCCGCCGAGATCGAAGCAGGGGCTCGCCGTGCTTACCGTAACATGGGCGGATCCTTCAGCTCGGCGCGGGCGATGCTGGCGGAGGCGTCGGGGTTCGAGACCGACGGGCGGGACACCCTCGTTCCGCCCTTCTACGCGTCCAGGAGCAGGAGGGCCGCCACGCTGATCAGCTCTCCCAGCCCTGGCCGCCCTGCGCTCATCCTGTGGTGCGTCTGCGGCCTCTGCATCTCTCTGGGAGCCGCGGCGCCGACCGCAGGCCAAGGGCTTAGTCGGGCTGCGCCTTCCGCGCCCGCTCGCCCTCCGCGCA